TTTTTAAAAGTGTCACATGAGTTCTCGGAACAATTTAAATTTCAAATGTATAGGCTACAATATTGTCACCCTATTTATTTGTTTTTACGTCAAATTTAATAAAAATATCTTAAATTTCGAACAAGACGGATTTCATGTTGTTCCCGTTACACTTAAATGCCATCCCTTTACCATTACAAATTTATTTTTAACATTTTTCAACATTTTTATAAGAAGGGTAAATGAAAATTTTAAATAAAATTGTCTAACTATTTTAATTGTGAATAACCAAACCAAAAAAAAAGTGTCTACTTACTTTTTATGAAACAAATCTACATACACACATATGTATGTACGTGTATATGCAAATTTCGATTACCGAAATAAATGAAGAAGAAATAATATTGAAATTGGAAATAAAATGTGAAAAAAATAAAGAAAAGGGTGAAATATTCCCAATTTCATACACCAAAACTAAATTGCGTGTGACTTGTATCATTAAATTGTGTGGTATTTTAAATGACAATGTGACGACAAAGAAAAAAATTTTTTATTTAGAAAGTGAAAAAAAAAACAAGTAAAAAATTAGAGTGTGTGAAAGCCAAATAAATGGGGAAAAAATGACTTTTAAACAAATATTATCAAAAACAGCATATTATACACTTTTTTTTTTTTATTTATTTTGTTGACATTTAGTTAAAGATTTAATTAAATCTTAAAAGAATGAAGAAGAAGGAAAGCAACAATCACAATACTTGAATAGTAAAAGCGAAAATTACCTTCTGGATTTTTCTTTTATTTTAATTAGGAAATTACGTAGAGTTCATGTTGCTTTTTAAATTTTTGGTGTTTTGTCAGTTTGTTGGCGTTATAACTAGAAGAATGACATGATTTCTCTTACTTAGTCGGAAACTGTTTAATTATTCAGTTAGCATTTAAACATTTTAAATGTGTTAAATAGGCTGTTGTACAATATTTTTGCCTTCGCAGCTTTTCGATGTTAATAAATTTTCTTAAAAATTTAGGCCAAAAACTAAAACTTAGCTGTAATTTTTAATTTATACGAACTTGAATGATAAAAAGAATACCAAAGGAATTTTCTGTACCGAATCAGTTCAATCAGTTCGTCGATATATAAATATTTTGCACATAGTTTTCTTCAGCGTCGGATAATAATTATTTAAGTAACTTCGTAGCGAAGATATCTAGTGAGATTTATAATTCATGCAAAGAATGTAGAGATTCTGAAATAATTTACGTAGACGGAAGCCAAATTTTTTTTCTCGCTCCTTTTAGAACTTTTTCAAAAAAATTTTTGAAAAAATTGCTTATTAGTTTCACTCTGTCCGTCCGTCCGTCCGTCCGTCCGTCCGTGGACACTTTTTTTGTTTACAAAACTTCTACAATCTTGAAGATAGAAAGCTGAAATTTCATACGTACATAGATCTTTCCTAGAAACTTATTTCCGTAGAACAATATTTTTACCTATCTCCCCCCTCTAGAAGTTACACCCCCCCAAAACCCTAAAAATGGCCTTTTTTAACTATTTGTTGTAATGAAACCATAAGCATTTTTGAAATTTTGCAAACGCAAAAAGGCAGTGGCTTGCTTCCCCTAGCGCGGTATACTATAGTTCAACTTTAGAAAAACAAAATGGCCGTTCTAATTTACCGTTATCTAAAGTCCTTTTTTTCCAAATTTTTGATGTCGTTTTTCTTCGAGACCCCATACTGTAGAACTTTGAAATTTTAGGAGCTTTTAGATATTAACAAATAGTTCATTGCGTTAGAAAAAAAATTTTTTCTATCTCCCATCTAGTTTTGTATATGAATGAAAATAATTTAAATAGCGTGATAGGTATACATAGACTGTATTTAAAAGCAGAATTTTCACTTGTTGAAGGGAAAAGTGCTACAATACAAACCATTTGTTTGACCCAACTTTATTCTTTCACTAACACACGTTCTAAAACTAGATATATAGCTATTTATTTTATAAACTCTTAACTGTAATTTGATTCTCTTATTCTAGTTTTCTAGTATTTCGATTTATCATACACTAGCCAAGTATTGTAGATTTAGAAATTAATATTTATTACCCATTGCTCCTTTTAAAATTTCGTAATCGTATACTTACAATGTTTGTTTTTTCCAAGCTTCTGGAGTATGATGGTTATGTTAGTATAAAATACAGGGTATTTCGTAATTAAGATTAAAGCTGACTCTGATTGTGATTTCTTGTAGTTTTTTCGCAATTCGTAACTATTTTTGACGATTTTAAACCTATAAACACTGTTACATCATGGTAATATATTAGTAATATATAGTACAAGGAGCCCCGAAGTAATATAAGTTACTTCGGGGCTCCTTGTACTGTTTATATGGTTAGGTGATAATTAATATATTATTAAGTATTTAAGTTTTTTGATATTTTTATTAGAAAATCAAGTCTTCATTACAAAAATCGAAACTTTACTTTTATTTTGTTTGAAACGGAAGTTCGCTTTTTAAAATTACTATTTTAATTGGTAAATATTACATGTCACATGAAAATTATGTATCACCAAATTTGGAGAATAATGCAATGCAGCCTATCGATTAAAAAAAAAATCTATAATTTCACACAAAAAAAAAAACTCGTTAAAATTATTTCCGAGCTACCCTGTGTTTTTACAATAAGTACATAGCTTGGTACTTAATTCAGAGGACTGATTTACTTTTTACATCTTCCAAAAATATCTTAGAGCAATTTATTATTAAATATATACACACTTACGTATATATACAACTAAATTAACTTTGCTTCTACTTTCTTCAACTAGAAATTCATAATTAAAATTATAAAATTAATACATTTATAATAATTTCATATTTTTAAATTAAAATTGCCTTAAACTAATGAATATATATTTAAAATTAATTTATTATAACACACATACATGACATATATATGCACAAATATTAACATACTCTATAGTTTGAACGCCAGTAGTAATATTATACTATATGTAATTAAAAATAATTTGAGTAACTAACAGTAAAATACTCATTAATAATTGATTAATGATTATACTTATAAAACACAACTTAAACTCAATTTATATTAATTGTATAGTAGATCTAATTGTAGTACAGACCAAAAGTAGAAAAGTGTACACAACAACTTATATTTAATATTAAAATTAATTTTAATTATATTTTATAATATATGAAATTTAAAGATTTAAATTGAAATTAATAAGTACTTATAATAGAAAATCTAGTTAATTATTAATTAAAATATTTTAAAATAAAATAATTGAAAACACTCACAAATGCTCCTAAAAGTGAGTGTTATACATATATGTTGAGTGAAATTCTCAATATAATTATTTAAAAAATTATTAAAGTTTATCGTGTCATTAAATAAAATTTTATGATAATTATTATTTAAATACATAATTCAATAAACTTGGGATTAATTGAAAAAAATAATTTATTAAATAAATTGTTTCTTAATATTTAATTTACAATTACAGCTCATGTTCAATTGTAATTCAATACAAATATAGTGTTTGTTTGTGTATATTTAATTAATATAGCTAAAATGCCATCTGGAGACGGTAATCTTAAGTACTTAAGCTAAAAAATCAAATTTTTAATTATTCAATTTCGAATATTTGTGAAAATAGATGGCATTCTTAAGATAACTATTTTTATTAACTAATAGTAATTATTATCTGACCATTAATAAACAATGGTAGAGTGGTTATAGCGATCATTCTCTTACAAATGAGCCTCGGGTTCAAACACTAGTCAGGTCACTATAATAATTTTACTTAATTATATAAAACTTAATATAAAATATTATGAAATAAAATATTAATATTAAAATAATTGCCCATACATTTGATAATATTCGATATTGTAGACCAACAATACTTAACAATAATAATATCAATAACCTTCCATACTTAGTGAAAAGAAACGGCAGGTTGGTCACCGCCTAGTTTTAACTCTAATGAACTGTAAAACTGATATTTAACTCTAAAGTTGATGATCCTAATGCTCCCAAGTGGAGTATCGGAAAAACAAATAATAATTATTAAAATTATTAATTATTATTAACAAGTTACAGTTGAATAACAAGAATTAAAATTAAATATATGAATTAAAAATTATTTTATTTTTATTGAAATTAAAATTAAAATAAAAACAATTAATAAAAATAATTAAGCAAATAAATTGTATATGAAACTTTTATTTAAATTTAATATAATAATTAAATTAAATTAATTATTTATTTATTATTATATTAAATTAATTATACGTTATGAAAATTATTAAAATTCTAAATTATTTTCTTGGCGTATTTTATTAAATTTATTTATTTTCTATTTCAGAAGAAATAATATTTGAATTGAAAATATAATTTTGTGCAATCATTAATAATTAAATTTCATTTATAATCAGTGAAAATGTGAAAAGTGAAAATGAAAATTTTAATAAATAATACTTGAAATTAAAAAGTAATTAAGAAGTAAATAAATAAAGGAAATCCCCATTTCCTTTTCAGAAAAAAATTCGAAATTGAAAAGCTATTAATTATAACCATAATTTGGAGAATAAAAAAAAAAAACAAAACCAAATTTTTGGAAATTGGGAATTTTATTTGCATACTTTTGTAATTTTAATATCGTAAACATGAATATACAAAAATAAATCAGTATTTTATTATAGAAAATAACAATTTGTTATTTTCAAATAATATTAGCAAAAAAAAAATAAATTTAAATAGTAATAATTAAAATATTAATAATAAAATAATTATTACAAAATTAAAAAGTATAATTAAAAAAAAAAATTATTAAGTAATTGATTAAAAAAGAAAATTTAATTTTCAATTAATTATAAATTTTATAATAATATTAATAATAATTCAAATATAAATTGAAATTATTTAGAAAATAATTAATTATAATAATAATATAATATAATATATTTATTAATCATTAAAATAGTAAAAAAATATTATTAGAAAATAAAAGTGTAGAAAATAAAATGATTGAAATAAAAAATTACATGATAGTGAAATTAAATTAAAAATTCAACACATAACCAACATATACAAATGTATATTTATACACATATAACGTAATTAAGTATATATATATATATATAAAATTAATTAACATACATGGTATAATAAAAAAAAACAACAACAACGGCAACAACTTAAACAACAACAACAACAACTACCGTAAAACTATAAAATTTAATGTAGAAATAACGGGATACAAAAAATATATCCAAAAATAACGTAAAAAAAGAAAATAAGAAGAAAAGGAGGAAGAAGAACAAAACAACACAACAAAAAGAAATAAGCAACAAAAAAAATTTTTCCATAGAAAAGTAAGTATTTTTCCATGAAATAATAAAAAAAAAAAAAAAAATACCAAAAAATTAATTTTGTAAAAAAAAAATTATAATAGGAAAAATAAAAAAAAAATTCTATTTTAAGCTAAAAATAAAATAGAAAAGAAATCAGAAATAATTTTTAAGATATTTAAAATCAAACTTTACAATATAAAAATTTTGTTGTAATTTAGAGTCGAAAATTTACCCAATTTTTGTTATACATACATTTATTGTTGTATGTACCTATTGTGTATATGCAAAACAATAAAAAAATATCTAATAAGCTTTTACTGAAAGTACATGTATAACAATAAATTCTTTGTAATAAGTATATAAATATACAAGGTGATTCAGTAATAGTATATGCTTTAATAATATTTGAAAAGTTTCCTAGATGCAGGGGATTTTAACAAATTTGTACGAAATTTCTATACTTTTCGTTATTGAATATTTTATTTTATATTTTATTAAACTTTCGGAATGTCAAGTATTCCTTCAATTACTTACTTAAATTAAGAAAAATTAAAATTTTTGGTTTTCATTATTCGACAATCTGAAATATTCGAAATTTTTGAAAATGACAAAATGAATTTCTCCCCATTAACACAATTTTAATTTAATTGATCAAACGTTAAAATTGTAATGATCGAGTAAATATTGCAAAAAAAAAAAAGCATTTGAAATTCAAAATTTTAATTGTTGTCAGAATTTTGAATTTCAAATCTGTAGTAGTTGTCACTTTTTTTACTTTTTGTTAATTATATTTAATTATCTCGCAATTATAAATAGTTAGCTACAAATGAAACTGTTCAAGCATTACAAGAAGAAAAATAAGTTAGCTAGAGTAATAAAATGCATAGATTCTGAAAGAGAAGTGTCTAGTAAGTTTCTAAATTTTCGAAGGGTTAGGCAAGATAAGCGATTTTTATTTTGTAGCGAATGGTTTATTACCGATTAATCACCCTATATAAAGCCTCTCATTCGTATGTTTTTTCGGGAAGAAAAATTGAAATTTTGAAAGAAATAACTTAAATTTTCGTTTCTAGTGAAGTCAAAGTACTGAAATTTAATATTAAATTCGTTCAATATAAATGTTATACAAGAAATTCTGTTATATAATATATAAAAAAAGAAAGCATTTTCTATTAATTTTTAATATTAGAGCCGCATCTACAGGGAGAAATGTGCATAGCTACTCACAATATTTAATTTGATCAGCTACTATTTAATTAATGTACTCGTACTCTTATACGTGTATAGTTTTAATAATCTTGTTACTATGCTCTCGTACATTATCCGAATTTTATTGTATTCTACTGTATATATACCTTCCCATTTAATATGGATATATACATGTTATATAAAACGTGACCAATTTTTAATTTGAAAATATTTAGATTTGATTTTTCATTTTTTTTTTTTTACCTTTTCAATAATAAATAATATTATTGTAGTGTTTTCATTCAATTTATGATTGAGTATTTTTTTTTTACATTGAGATAATGTAAAAAAAAAGTACTCTTAACGTAAAAGATTGGCAGTGAAATTAGTCAATTTAAATATCGAGAATCGTTGTATAAATTAGCTAGGTATATAAGAAATTTGTAATAATTTTAAATTTTTACCATTCAAAGAAATAGCCATATATTTATTTATTTATTTATATAACATTATTTAATAAATTATTATATTATTACTATCGGCTGCCAGGCCCATTATGGATTCACAAAGTTAATTTACATTAATAATAATGTTGTAAGAATAGTTTTATTTATTTAACAATTCTAATATTTTTAATTTTACTTGTTATTTCTAAGCATTATGATCTTAACAAGATGGTTTACCTGGGTATAGCTTCCATAGATGACACTATAGACTAGGTCATATGCTGTTCACTAAGAAATATCTATTTTATGATACTAGCGTGCCAACTTGTTTTTTTTTTTGACAATATGTTGAACGTTAAACATATTTTCATGGAATTATCTGTTACGAGGAATTTTTTGGAGTCCTGCTACAAGGAATTCAATGATATTTAGCTTCCAATAACTGTAAATGTCAATTTTATTAAGAGCATTTGTGAGTTATTTAACATGTAGAATTTAATGAATCCTATTATATCATGTAATAATTGAAATAATAGCTGTGTGCATAATATTAAAATTTTATGTGATGTAGGTATGCACGTTTGCTGCTATACTGTTTTATGAATATTTTGAGCGGGAGTATCTAACCATTTCTAAGCTGTTCTTAATGAGTCAAAACTACTATATTTAATTGATTCATTTTGTATGTATGTAAGTAGGTCTAGTAATTATTATTTTTCTGATTTGAATTTTATTTTTGAAATTTTATTATTTATTCCAATTATTATTTCGTTCAATTACCTTTCTACTTAATTCTAGCTAATCTATTACTCATTTAGATTATTCTAATATTTTTTGAATTTTCTTCAATAAATTATTAAGGTGAACAACTCGAATGTATGCTCAATATTTGAATGGAATTTTAAAATTCCCATAAAAATAAAATTATTTGAAGGTTATTTAAAATTTTGTTTTCTCTATTATTATTTTATTTTAAATCTCTCTTTTTACTGTTGTAATATAGTTTTGAAATTTTACTTGTGAGTATTTAAAAATAACACTTCTAATATAATATAAAGCAATACGAACGTTTTGGGCATTGCCAAAATGTAAACAAAAATTTTTCAAATTTGTACCTATTTTCGCTCAATATAAGATATTTTTCTGTTAATGTGGGGGGTAAATAATAGAATTTTTAAGATTTAATTTTACATGGAATGAGAGAAACACATTATTATACCCGTACGAACGTATGTTCGAAGGGTATACTAAATTTGCCTTACCTTTTGTAACGCTAAGAAATAACGGTGTTAGATATAGACTCAAGTGTATGTTTTTGATCAGCGTCAAATTCTGAGTTGATTTAGCTTTGTCTGTCCGTCCGTCCGTCCGTCCGTCCGTCCGTCCGTCCGTCCGTCCGTCCGAACGATAACTCAAAAACTAATTGAGCTAAGTTCACCAAATTTTCACAAATGATTTATTGTAGTAAGTGCCAGAACCCTATTTAAATTGGACATGATTGGGGTATCGGTTCGGGTAGCTGCCATACAACTTCAAAATTTATTTGGCTATATCTCAGAAACTATAAAAGTTATGGTATTGAAATTTCACACAAACGAATATATTAGTAGGGCCAATATGCCCCATAAAAGTCATTGAAATTACTTGGCTCCTTCTGGTACCTGCCATACAACTTCAAAAGTTATTTGGCTATATCTCAGAAACTATAAAAGCTGTGATATTGAGATTTCACACAAGTGAATATATTAGCAGGGCCGATGTGTCCGGTAAAAGTCGTTGAAATTACTTGGCTCCTTCTGGTACCTGCCATACAGCTTCAAAAGTTGTTTGACTATATCTCAGAAACTATAAAAGCTGTGATATTGAGATTTCACACAAGTGAATATATTAGTAGGGCCGATGTGTCTGGTAAAAGTCGTTGAAATTACTTGGCTCCTTCTGGTACCTGCCATACAGCTTCAAAAGTTATTTGACTATATCTCAGAAACTATAAAAGCTGTGATATTCAGATTTCACACAAGTAAGTATATTAGTAGGGCCGATGTGCTTGATAAAATTCGCTAAAATTTCTTGGCTCTTTCTGGTAGCTGCCATACAACATCAATAGTAGTTTGGCACAACCAGTATTTTGAATAACACATAGTACTGAAATTTTGCATAAATTAATATGGTAATACGGCAACTTAAAGTCATAGTCTGCCCCATAGTTAGTTATGGCACATTAGTTATTCGCACATAGGATAGCAAATTCGTACGGGTATCACAGAGTTGACAAGGTCAACTCTATTTTTTTCTCGTTTTTTTTTGTTTTCATTATGTTTCATTTCATTGCTTGAAAAAATATATAAAATTGCGGTTGAGAAACTATTCAGATTTTATATGTAATAGAAAAGGTAACGAGAAATTAGATAATTTCGCTCAAAATTATTTAAATGAGTTTTTGGAAAAAATATTCGATTTTCGAACTATATCGAATAATAGAGAGGGAAAAATTTTTACCGAAATATTTTTGAGTTTTTCAAATGGTGTAATTTATTTGGAATGCTTGAAATTGAATTGGATGGAAGAAAATTTAAAGTGTTTTGTGATATTTAAATTATTTTTAAAATCAAAATTATTAATTAAAAATTCTTAATATAATATTACAATTGTGTATGAACAATATTTTAATTTAGTATGTATTTGATTTCACTTATTGTTTAATTTATTCTATTAATTTCTATTTTTCTGCCATGTCGCACTGGACTTAATAAAAATTATTTGTTAAATAAAATAATTCATAAAATGGGTTTTTTGATTTTTGATTAAGGACAAAAATAGCAACTTTTCAGGGATATAATATTGCATACTTCAGTTTATGGTCGTGTTATAAAAATTAATGTAATAAGTATTAGAGAAGCAACTAGATGGCATGATCTGATTTGAAAAATTCCAATTATAGGGATTATCAAAGGCCATTTGAGAAAGTTAAATTTTTTACGTTGTTGGTTTTCGCCTTTTATATTGGGTTAGAATCAGTTATTGTGTTACTAAAATGAAAATGTTTGTGTCAAATTGCCGTTCCGTATATAACAGACTCAACTATAAATACATAAATATTCTTAATTAACCCATTGTGAGATATTCAATTTTCAAACCTAGATTGAAACCTAAAATTTTCGGTTAGATTTTACGCGAATGTTTCTTTAAATAATTATTTCTATTACTTAATTCTTACTTTTGAGTTTGAATATTTCGGATTATTATATGTAAGCCATAACTGAAGACAATTCATTATATAAATAATAAGTAATTAAAATACAGTAAAACTCCTTTATGTCAAACACTTTTCACTGCAAGAATAATTTCGAAATAGAAATATTTTATTATGTGCTAAATAGTATTACA